ATACTTCAGCTGTACTTATTTTGTTTGTGTTATTTTTTCAATTTATTACCTTATTAAAATCAGGTGTATTATTTGTTTGTATTAATGTATTCTGTTTTGTTTATTTTAGCTTAACCTAACCAATCTATAGTTTTATTAATACAGTATAGTTAATAGATACAGTAGTAATTCAATGTTATTTGCCTTCCATAAATATAGAATCCATAAAAGTCCTGATTTAGTTTGTCTAAAAGTGGAATTATCTATACATTAGCAACATGAAGTTCTACTTCTTATTCAACACTCAACTCTACTCAAATTCTTACTAAATAATACCAATTAAACTTTCACAGGTACTTTAAAATGAATACGCGACAGAGTAGAAACAAACACTATACATTTTAAACTATGTTTTACAATATTATAGTGGGATTGTCGGTAGAATGCAGTGGGACGAGAGCTCGTTTGGTATTTAAATTTCAAATCGCCCGCTACACTGGCGAGACGATCACGTGGTTATGCATGGACGTATCACGTGATCATCCAATTTACAACTAATCTAGAAGGCAGGGCACAACAATGAAACCAATGGCTAGCATACTCATAGATTATATATAGGCAAAGTATAATAATCATAGAGTATAGAATGACTAAGCATTCTATACATTGCCTAAAATGAACCAGGTATGAAATTGAGCTCAAATTTAGACTTATGTATCCTTGCGTGGCATTAATTAATCTTATCTTACTATAATATTATAAATGTGAAAGTTTGTGTGTTTGTTTGTTTGTTTGAAGTTCAATCACGCATTAACTACTGGACGGATTGGGCTGAAATTTGGCATGATGATAGCTCACATTCCCGATTAACATATAGGCATATTCTTATCTAAAGAATCCTTTCGGGCTCCGCCCCAGTGGCTCTGTAGTTCCCCATGTTAACCTTATGAGTATTCATATTTAAATGGAATTAAAGAATTTAGTCAGCTGTTTCATCTAAAAAGTTGGTTCTATGATATGCAAAAGCATTAAAAACTTATATGATTTACCAAGAGGATGCAGCACTATATAGTTTTTACATTTATGAAAACAGCTAATTAAGCAGCAACAAAAACTGTGATACGCAATGAACACTAACTGCCAAAGTAAGATTGTTTACAGATATGTTTAAGTTTTTAATTTAATGAATAATTTTTGATATTTTGCGAATCTTTGATCATTTATTTTTCTCTGTTGTTTAGGTGAAGTGGTAGAACGTTAGGCTACGGTAGATGTGTAATACTATAGAATACTGAAAATTTAATCAAACTGTCCTCCCTCATTGCAAGCGCAAAGCTTGAGTTTAACTGCAATAAGCATTTTATACTTATATGCCAACCCCGTACGATGGACGGGTACTCTGCTACTCTAACATAAAATAAACTAACCTAGCCAAATAAAATTATTTCGTTTTACCAGGGGATTTTTTAAACAGATTTTTACTTCTTTTTGACATTAGCCAATCTAATCTTGAATTAACTAAAATTAACCTAGCCTGACTATAAACAAAATAAATTAACCCTGTTAAATAAATTAAATTTGTTATAAATATTTATATTTTATACTTTGCCTGACACACATGTGGGCATTCTATAGAATGTCAAAGCATTATACATAATGCCTAGTCACTCTATACAAAACCTGCATTATATAATTTGCCTGTAACATAAAAATGCTTTTGTATAAACATATAATTTATTGATCAGTAAAAATCATTATTTGTGAAACTTATGTAGATTTTAGAAAGCATTGCGATGTTTAAAATTTCTCTCTAGCAAGGTTAAACACTATTTTAACTATATACATATGTATAAAATATTGACCTCTGGAGTAACTCTGTCCAGATCGATTTCTTACGTGATGAAAATCTAATTAATATTCATACAGTACAACAGTAATTAAAATTCTTTCATAATAACTTTTTTACACTATACTTCATTAAGAACAACATGAACGCTAGAATTGTTCAATTCATAGTTTTATTCTAAAAGCAAACCCGTTACAACTAGCACGTGTTTAATCAGTGGAAACCAATAAAATATGCGAAGTTGCACGTGCAGTTATTTTTCCTCACTTCCGCTCAACCAGCTGACAACTGAAGGACGGATGCAAGAAGAATGCCAATCCAAACCACGTGAATACAAGGTGTTAATAAATACGTTTCAATAATTTATCAACTTTAGATAACGGGTGACTGACAGTTTTTCAGGTTAAGTTAATTTAGTGTAAATATATTTGATGGGGCACGTCTAGGAAATAATGCAGGTTGGGTGTTTTGGTAATTAAAATTACGGTTTGGCGTACAGTAAAATTAGCCTATACAAGATACATCTACAAAAAGATGGAATTCAATATACGCGATTTGACGAAATTCATCATTTGTAGATTGATTTATCTAGCTTAGGGTCTTAAATTATTGAACTGTTGTTCAATAATTACTCATTTGATGATTGAGGAACATTGATTAAACAATTATCACTTGAGTCATAAGAAAATCTAAACGAAATCGTAGATTATACATTTTCTCTTAAATCTATACAATGCTGCTGTCTTAACAAATGCTGCTGCCTTAACGATGCTGCTTTAGTATACTTCTATATCAGCTGCATACTAGTTCTTTCCGGTCTAAATAGGTGGTGTTTTCGTTAGATTGCTAGTCTAAATTCCTCATAATATAAAACTATTTTGGCTTGGTCACCAAGTTGGCGTTTGCAGAAATCGTCAGTACATTTCATACTTGTAACAATTTCAACACGGAAAGTGTATATGATCCATAGTCACAGACTCGTGTGCTGATATACACTACAATGTAGTATGTGTGTGTAAGTGTGAGACAGCCAGCGGTTGGCCCGTGCCGAACCGCACGAGTTGGCGACGCCTTAACCTATTCTTGTCCGATCTAGTAAACACCGCCCAGGCGACCACATACTTTCTGTCCCACATTTTGATATTCTGTAGAGTAATAAACGTATTTTCCCCCCTAGGGGAAAAGCTTAACTTATAGTCATAGTAATTTATTTCAGTACTATGTCCTAAAGTGACTATTTTCGTCATGTAGGTTTAATCCAAGTCACGAGTTTTAGTGATTAATTGTGTTTACAACACAAATGGTAATATTAAACTAAGTGTTAAACGTTACCTTACGAAAACAGTAGTTTTTGCTTGCTGTACAAGGGTAACAATAAAAAATAATATTTTCCATCACTCCTGTTTGAAGTGACTCTTTTCCTCACGAGTACTGATTTGTTGGTGTCGTCTTTAGCCATTGTTTTATGGGTTATTTTGGTAACATTAAAGTAGCTGATGATGTAGACTAAGTTTCTATCTTTTTTTTAGGTTCGTGCTTCACTTCATGGTTGTAATACCAAAAGATAAGCAACTGGTTAAAAATACTACGTTATTCAGTTAAAATAGTAAAAACATTATTTTGGAGCAATAAGATGCAATTAGTAGGAAGAAAACGACCTCATCATAAACAAGATTGAACTAACCATATAACTGGCCTCAATTGATCCTTATCATGGCAAATCTTTAGAGGTATCTTACACTTATTCTTGTAGAAATTTGTTATAGGCTTGTCATTTTCTAGACTCCTTTTACCCTGACGATGGGATCATATACTACATCCCGAAACGTCATGTTGTGTTTTACCAACGCATGATGACAAATATTCACAATAATCTCCTATACAATAAGAGAACTGTACTAATCTGGTCATGTTCTTATTTCATCACCTGAAGACGGTGTCAGATTCCACAATCCGAAACGTCATTATGGTTTACCAATGCATTATGGGAAACGTCCACAATAACCCCCTATACAATATAAACTCTGTACTAATCTGGTCATGTTCTTATTTCATCACCTGAAGACGGTGTCAGATTCCACAATCCGAAACGTCATTATGGTTTACCAATGCATTATGGGAAACGTCCACAATAATCCCCTATACAATATAAACTCTGTACTAATCTGGTCATGTTCTTATTTCATCACCTGAAGACGGTGTCAGATTCCACAATCCGAAACGTCATTATGGTTTACCAATGCATTATGGGAAACGTCCACAATAATCCCCTATACAATATAAACTCTGTACTAATCTGGTCATGTTCTTATTTCATCACCTGAAGACGGTGTCAGATTCCACAATCCGAAACGTCATTATGGTTTACCAATGCATTATGGGAAACGTCCACAATAATCCCCTATACAATATAAACTCTGTACTAATCTGGTCATGTTCTTATTTCATGACCTGAAGACGGTGTCAGATTCTACATCCCGAAACGTCATTATGGTTTACCCATGCATTATGGGAAACGTCCACAATAATCCCCTATACAATATAAACTCTGTACTAATCTGTTCATGTTCTTATTTCATCACCTGAAGACGGTGTCAGATTCTACATCCCGAAACGTCATTATGGTTTACCCATGCATTATGGGAAACGTCCACAATAATCCCCTATACAATATAAACTCTGTACTAATCTGGTCATGTTCTTATTTCATCACCTGAAGACGGGGTCAGATTCCACAATCCGAAACGTAATTGTGTCTTGACTAATCGGCGATGGACAATATCCACAACCTAAAATCACAATCACCGGGAAACCAAAAAAACTCCCTAAATCTTTCCACAGTGACAAACCCCCATGACCTTGAACATCTCCACCCTCCTGACGCGGTTGACCCAGTGACCGGGTGCCGGGTGTCGGGCGAGTGCGAGGAAGGTCGCGGCGGAACCCTGACCTGGAACTAGGGACAAGACGACCGTCACGGCCCAAGGTCCCAGCCGCTACCACAGGTGCTCCTGCGCGTGGTACCATTGAATATATCTTCTATCTATCTATCTATATATATAATACGTGAAGCCGTTTTTTGTTAACGCAACTCCTCCCTTATTTGCGGACCAATTTCAACGTTTAAGGTGTCAAAAGATTTGTCTCAATGTGTAGTTTTGCAATAAGGTTTTAGAATTTTAAAATGCCAACTCTTAAGGGCGTGAGACCCTCTCAAAGGTCGGGTTTTACCCATAAGAAATACATAGAACAAATTTAAAAACAAAAAACAGCTGTTTATAAAAAGAAAATCATTAGCTTTTTGGGAGTAAATATTAATGTTTGCAATATTCAGTAGGTTAAGACCAAGTTAAACAGTTAATCAGTTTTGTTTGGATGAACAGAAAATGCCTCAAGTTCAAATAAGAAATATTGAAAACGGGAGGATGAGACAATTAATAATAATATATCTTATGCGTATAAGGAGGGTAGAAAAAGAGAGGTAGAAAATTCAACACAATCCAGACATTTCAAGTCAAAAATAAGAAGTTGCTATTGTAAGTTTTAGTGGCAATATTAGACCAAACATAAGTGAAGGAATTAGTGTTTATGTAATCAACGATCGAGTAGGGACAATCAAGTTTATTTTTACGATTCTAAGGCAAATAATATGCGTTGACGTTGTTCAAAAAGAGAAAGTTGCAATTGCTATCCAAATCTTATAGCTACAAGAGTTAACTAACCAATTTCGACAAACTAATCCATACTTTCAAAACTTTGGGACAGGTATTAAGAGAACCCCAGAAACTCCACTGAACAACGTAAGAACGTTCTGATGCGAGGCATATACTGAGACTGAGAGACACGTTAAGTTAACCAACTTTCAATGGTGTTGCTGCTTTCAAAGCAGATTATGGCTGTCCAGTTGGTAATCCGGAGACTTTTCGGGATTCTATACGAAAAAAAATCGTTGGTTTAGGAGGATGTCTCAAATAAAAGAAATGAAATTACCAAACTAAAAAAACCCCAACTAAATTACTTAACACGGGTTATCAGTAAGGCAACAGTTTTCTTCAATTCTTAATGCTGGAAAAACGTTGTTGCAACATGCATGTTAACTCGAATTGAAGCAGAACGTTTAGCTTCCATTAAAAGTTATCAGTTAAAACTGAGAGCAGAAATAGTAGGTGAACCTTGACGCCGCAAATAGAGTTATTCAAAATAATTTTCTAACAAGTTTTCAAACAACTCTAAGATGTAATTAAAAATACTCGAATTTAATCAGAATTCATTGTCCTACTTCTGGATATTGCTTTATATTAATTAAATTATTATTGTTACCTTACAATATCCGTTTGGTGTTGGTAGATAGACAACTACATGTTTCGTGGCGACTGCCACATCCTCAGGTTATCCTCTTCTCAGATTCGTCATCAATTTAAAAATATAAAACACTGAACACACGTAGAAAAACACATTACATTAAACATTTATTTTGATACCGTCACGGTGCGTGCACGCGTTTGGTCGGGCCGGCGGCGAGTTATGTTTCATACTATGCGGCTCAATGAGCCGCATGGGTTCTCTAGTAACACTATATTCAATGATGGTAAGCTTTGAAAACACAGGGAGACATAAATGTGTTTTTTGCCTTTAGGTTCTAGGACGCTAGGGACGAGCCCGGGATTGTTTTTCACAATACTGGCTAGACCTAGGGGTTGCGGCATTCACTTAAATATATTGGTGATTTGGCGGGATTTGAACCCGGAACTTCAGGAACCGAAGTCCCACGCTCTAACCACTAGACGCGCTCACTCCTCACGTCAATGTGATTAGGGGTAGGCGGTTTTTGGACTGATATTTTCAAGAGACGTCACTATTAAAATTTTTGCAGCGGAACTAAGGGTTATGTGAACAAACCTAACCTGACCTAGGTCTATATGGGGTTCATTTTGATATTTATAAGTTATTCTATCGGCTTTAAAGTCATTAGGGCAACTTGTAACTATTTACTTAAAAAGACTTATGTTTGCTGGTATAATAACACTGTAAAATACTGCTAGTAGACTTCTAACTATATCCTAAAATCTGAAGTTTCGATTTAAATGAGTGTTTAATTTTGGGTGACGAAGGACGCTTGATAGCGTCGAAGGCGATTTTTAGGGTGATAGTATAAGTTTTAAAATTAATTTTCACTCTTTTGATGTACCAGAGGACGAAATGCAAATTCATGAACCATTATGTTTAGTTCGGTTTTTGAAATTAGCTAAATTAAGACCGGTGAAGACATCATCGCATTCAAGCGTACCGGATCAATAACTTCAACATTATCGTCAGCTGGTCCATACATAGGATTATGGGAGTGTATTTGTAATCAGTGGTGCAATTTTGTCGGTTCTTCTTGAAGGAACTGTTTCTATAGCTTTTAGCAATGGCAATGAGAGACTTAGTAGATAACTTCAGATACACGTTTATTCATCCCAATATTATTACAGAAAGATACAGATGAATAAAAACAGAGAGCAAGAATAACTACAGTAGTACAACTATAATTGTTAAATGAATCTGCCATACTTCAAAAGCAAGTTATTTAAAGTCCGGTCTAAAACCAATTGCTCAATTAAGTTTATGATGGAATGGCTTCTGGATCGTCTAAATTAACTAATAGAGGTTAACATTACTGTTCCTGGTTACCTTCAAAACGATCCATGGTAGTTTACAAAGACTACAGCTGTTTCGTTCTGTCAAAAAATGGAGCACATCCTCAGATTAGAATTCGACCATGGGAGCAAGACATTCAGACCTGAATATGTGCTCTATTTTTGACAGTATGAAACATCTGTAGTCTTTGTGAACTACCATGGATAGTTTTGACAGTAACTAAGTAATTTAACACGTTATTAGCTCAATTAAATGATCTCATTCTAGCTCAATATAGTTAGAGCTTTAGTAGTGGCGATGAGATAATAGTCAATCAATACAGCTACACAGTGTAAATTCAATACCAATACGCTAAGTTAATGAAGTTCGTTTCTAAACATGGCTCACTTAAGGATCTAATTCCTAAACGACTCGCGTTTTTAGGCTTTTTATGATACATATAATAGAGATTTTATAAATGTAGGAACAATATTTAATACAAAAAATCACGCTTTAAGGTCAAGGGGGGGGGGTTCAAACCCCTAACCCCCACCTGGATATGCCACTGCAAGCAGTATCAATGCGATCAACTATATGAGATACTTGGAGCCAATTAGCCAATAGCTTCATAACGACCTCATAGCTATAGCTTCAGCAGTGGCAATGAGATAGTCAATAGCTACGTTGGGTGTCAAGGTATACAGATGAATAGCTACAAATGAAAGGCACTACTTTCACAACCTTCGCGTATTGGTGTAAAGAGCTTTAGAGCCTATTGAGACCGTCAAGAGATCGTTTCGTCAATGATGCTGCAATTTGCGTTGCAGAAACTATGTTAAGTCTCTCAAGTTATGAAGGTCAAATGAAAGGTAGATGAGTCAAGATGAAACGGTAACACGCTTTGAAAGTTCATTGTTGGTAATGATCTGAGAATTCTTGAGGAATATGCATTGAGTGTTAACAAAACCTATGCATTGTTTACAGGGAAAAGTTGCATTATCAAGACCAAATAGTACTGGTTTACTATGGTTTGTCTTTTGGTATTACTGTATTTGGTAGGTGAGTGGCTGTAGAACATTGTTCCTAGCAAACGTTAGGTCGCCGGTTCAATCCTGAAACAATAGTAGCTTTTTGATGGTTAAAAACTGGGCCCAGCTGTCCACGAGAATTGTAGTCCAGGCAAAGAAGAAAAAAACCAAAATGTTATTCCATTACATGGAAATGGACGTAGAGTTTTGTAGAAAGTCAAATTTAATCTGCCAATTTTAAGGTGTCCATTGCAAGTTTGCCTGGGTATACTTGTCGTATACGAAGGCAGTGGTTCCAACGTATTTGTTTGTTGCAGCAACTATGTAAGCTACAACGAGGCTAGGACAGTAATAACTTGCCACGTGTCTGTGAATCAGCTGGTCGAGGTGCCAACACTCCCGCCAAACGCCAACACACACCCGCCAAACTTCGCCCACCAAACGGTGTCGTGTTACTAACAAGCGAGGGTAGGAATCGAACTTGACTTTGCTGCGACAAGAGTTATTGGGTAACGTTATATAGTGATTTTGGCTACTGCTTTTTGATACTGCAAGTAAAACTTTTCATCGTTCTAAATTTGAAACTTGGCCTAATATTTTTAAAGCAGTGTACAGTTGGAACCAGAAAATTCTGTTTGAAAAAGGTCGTATCAAATAAAACAATTTTTGACAAAAATTTTAAATCTCTATCACATTAATGTTTATTATTCAACAGAATAGAATTTTGGCACGCCAATCGGTTCTCCTACTTCAAAGTCGACTCAAAACCATGGACGCCGATAAGAATTGCTTGATCAATTACCGAAGTTTTCGAAATGTGATCTGGGCTGGTGTGTCAGTGTAGTGAGACTATTCCCGAAGTTATGAGCCAATTTCAACTTTAGCTTAGACGCAGAAAAGTCGTTCTCGGCTTTCCTCTTCCAATCAGCGTTATAGTATGATGGCGAGTGGACGGTGTTGGACTTTGCCCTAGACACCAGCACTAGTGCTAGACACCACTTAAGTATCCCATTGCATTTTTCATCTGTACCTTACTTGTTGTTTCGGAAATATACTTGTGACGGGCAAGGAAGAGCCCGAGCGGCAAGCACTGTGTGGAAATTCCTATCGCACAGGGCACACGGTCTTCCTCCACCGAGAGCGTTATAGTACATGATGACGAGGGCGGTGTTGGACTTTGCCCTAGACACCAGCGCTAGTGCTAGACTATATACCATTCACTGTGTACATACTTTACTTTAATACTTTCTCATGAAAAGTGCAATCCGAACCACATTTTTCCCTGTAATTAACGGGTTGGTCAAATCATCAGGTTAGTACTGCGGATAGTCGTAGTACTCACTAGTGTGGACGTTAATCCACACCAGGGAGTATCACATC